ACGGCATATAATGAATGCAAATGTAGTTAATTATTATTTAATAGTTTTTCTTAATATTTGTATTAAAATAATATTTGCCGGTATATTACACAACTTGGTTGACGTGAGTAAGTGTTTTCATATATCAATATATAAGTGTATAAAAATGAGCCTGATAATTAAGATATGTAAACTATAGCTTAAAATGTATTGAAAAGTTAAAAACATTTAATCATTAAATAGAGGGAAACAACGGAATCCGTGAGATAAGGATCCTATACTACGAACAGCACGTGTTTGTACCCCAAGTGTCAACTATCTATCCATTAATTCGTGGTTTACCGCTGTTTGCCGAGGTTGATTTTGTACCAAGTAAACAGTTTTGTATATTTTTAATTAAATAAGTTTAATATTTTATATCTAAACACTCAATATACATATTTTCCTATGTATGTATATACATTAGTTATATGCACATTTATATTACCGGTACTAGAATAGTGTATAAATAATACGAGAATATTTGTTGTTTAGAATTAAAATAATTATTTTAAAAAGCTTATGTTTGAATGAAAATATCTATATTTGATATAATTCTTAAAAAATAATCATTATTACAGACATTCTTTGACTATTCCCAATTTACTATACCATAACAGCAAATTATTAAGTTTAAACTTCTAGAAATATTCAATTACAGTTTTTTACTGAAACACTCACATTTTACTTTACATTACAGTATTTGCATTTAATTGTATTTGACCAGTCTCACTGTTAAGTGATTTTTTAAAAATTATTTTCAATCAATATAAAAATAGCTGAAAATTAGTGTTCATAACTGAATTTTAAATAACAGTACATTTAACATCCATTTCCAACCGTCATATTCAGAATATATACCACAACTGACTCATTATATCTCAGTTGCGGTCACTTTACCCGAACGGATCCGAAACAGACAGTGGTATATAGGATGGCATCAGGAGAATTTAACATCCATTTCCAACCGTCATATTCAGAATATATACCACAACTGACTCATTATATCTCAGTTGCGGTCACTTTACCCGAACGGATCCGAATGTCTGTCACCATATATCCTACCGTAGTCCTCCACAAGCGTCAGTGGCCATACACGGCCAACACGTGGTTGTGATTGGTCAGCATATGTAACGGCCAGTGAGATATGGACGGGCTACTACCGACCACCGCACAGGTATGTCAAGTGAATCTTAAATACTAAATCTATTGATAGCCATAAGAGGGAGCAAACATACGAGCATTGAATGCTTTTTATTCTGTACTAAATTCCTTATAAATATTATAACTTTTAAGCCCAACCCCATGATACCCTGGTAATATTACATATCTTTGATAGCCTGTATACCCATAGCGATAATTATAATGCAATTTAATAGGACTTCCCAGAAATGAATTCCTTAACCTATAAATTAGAAAGTGTTAAGTCATTAAACAATAAACACTTTGAAATGTTTGTCACTTTTATTAGTGTTTTGAGTGTGAATTAATGCGATTGTGTTTAATATGCGGCAAATAGGGTCCGGTGCCCACCATATGGAAAGTGGAAGCCCTGCCACTAAACCCCCGGGACAACGACCAAACGGATATGAAGAACATGAATTAATGTATTCGTATGAATGAGTAAGGTGAGTTTTTAAAATGTGTAATCGTAAGCTGTTAATTTAAAGCTTTTCACTACATGACTATATTTTCTATGCTATTCAAAAGTCCTCCAAATGAGTTCTAACACCACATATGTCTCACCGCCCACTCGTAAAACATATCTTTTATTTAAATTAATAGCCTCGCTGTCCATATCTACCCAGCCTACTATTTTGCTTATTGCTTCATTACGTAATACCCCGACCATATTTAATGAGAAATGTTTTATTTTTGATATCCACTATGAGATTTAAATAATTTCATATAAATGTAAAATCAATTTTATTTTTCATGCTAAGGGACGACTTATTTTAATTAGTTATTAACCAAAAACTATATACTGTATTAATGTAATGCCAAAAGGATCTTGTTTATAAGTGCAATATGTACGCTGGTATTACGTGTAGTATAGATTCCGGAGGGATATATTCACTCATATATTATAATTAGATGAGAAAATTAATATTTGCTTATTTTTACCGTAGAGTTAATATATGTTATATAATACTCGTATATCTGAAAACTGATGTTTAATAAGATATTGAATAAAATCCTTAATAGATTTCTGATAACTTCCTGTTTATTATTAGTATTGGAGTAAAAATGTTTTATTAGTTTTATTACATAAACTCTTAAAATTCATTGTCAATAGAAAACGGAATTCATTGTAAAATGTGAAAAACTTATAGTTTTTAAGGACTTGAGGCAAAAGTCATTTAATGAAGATTATTATATAAAATATTTTGTAAAATTCATAGAAAAAGTCTCTCTCTCTCTCTCTCTCTCACACACACACACAAACACAACGTATAAAAATGTAATTTCTTTTTCTTATCATTTTATTGCATAATATTTTTAAAAATAAATTGTACTTATCAATGAATTTACCAGCATAGTATAATATTCTACAGTATTTACTAAAAATATATAAAATCCTGTATTATTACTGTTACTATTGCCTAATATTTTTGTTATCAGTTATTAACTGCAATAATAATGTTATTATAGTTTATATATTATATTAGATAAAAAAATATACAATATTTATAAACTCAGTTACAATAGAAAACTCATTTCATTTTAAACAACAAATAGAAAACTGATATAAAATGATAAATATAAAAATGTTATATAATGTAACAAAATTTAATATCAAAACTAATTTCTTATTTTTCTCAGAAATTTTCTAAGAAATATTTATCAGAGAGAAAAAGCAATTTATTTGTTTCATCGGAAAACACAAACACTTGTATTTGTAAATCGCAATCAAATCCAATCAACTGAACAGTAATTGTTTGTCAAATAAAACAGACATTGCTTTCATAGACAAAAATATTAACACATATACCGACGGACATAAACCAGTCGTGCATTACTTAATGGGATTGACAAACACACATACCAGTCCCATCATATTACAAATAAAATCCTTTATCTAAAAGACAATCTCAAAATATATACAGTCCTTAAATTGCAATACCGTATAAATGTATTCAGAGTATTAGTTATAACTTATAAATATAGTTATCAAATAAACTAAAACTCATATTAACTAGGGTAATACCGGTACCACAAAACGATTATCAATGTACCGATACATGTGACCAACGTGTGATACTGACGAGTGAGATATACCCTGGTCATAATCGTTAACAATAGAATGGTTTTTATTTTTATTTGCAATGTCTGCAAAACTGCAGACAAAATCATTTCTTTGTATCGCAAACGATATATTATTTGAAGTTTTTGTTTGTTTTGTTCCGTATGTCTAACTCACTGTTATGTATCAAAACTAATGACTATTATATAACACATTGTATTTTCATTTTACATGCCATCCCCGCATTTAACACACCATCTGTTGGGACAGACATTATGGACCCAAAGAGAAGCCCTAACTCGAGATCCCGATCCAACTCGACCTCATCACTGCAAATGCATTTGAGAGCTTAATATACGAATCGATACCATGAGATACCGTTCCCCTGACCATTAAACACATCATACGATATATACACTAATAATAAGTATAATAATAATAATTCTAAAGGATTTATGAAAACAAATATGAGTTGTATTTTTATTGGTTTGTTATAAGTTAATATATGCTGGACATTTTTTTGTAACCATTATATACTATAGATCTACTGTAGTATATCATAGGGATATGAATCAATTGCAACATGCGAGTAGAATATATGAATAGTTATGTGCAAAAAAATAAGCAACTTTTTGGTATAGAATATTCTGGAAACATACAGAATTTAGTCAAATAAATAACGATGATATTAATAATGGGAATGATACTGGTGGAAATAGACTGTGAATTTCAAATGCATTGAATTTTAAAAGTAACATTTTTGCAGTAAAAATAAAAATCAGAAAATCTAATCACGTTTTAAATCCTTTGCGAAATAAACTTCATTATAAATTCATTAAAAAATATAAAATAGCAAAAATGGTTAGACACTTACACATGGCTTACAACCTAAATTATATATTATAAATTACATTTTAAAAAGTTTTTGTGTTATTTGAAATTTATTTTTCACTATTCAATAGTGTACTGTATGATATATCAAAATTATTAGACATTTTTAAGCAATTGGTATAAAAATATTTATTTTCAAAACATAATATGATTATAAATCTAATAGATTTTTGTTTTTACAAAGTTATTGTAATTTATGATAAAAACAATGATAACGCATAATATTTTGTACATAAAAATCTATAATAATAAACAATTATTGAATTCAAAGTTTTAGACAAAAATTTTTGAAATGAAACCAAAAATTATCTAGAACACACAAATCTTTACAATAAAAATAAAATTCCTATTCATTCATAAAAATTATTATAAAATAAATATAATACTAAATACAATTATTTATTATATTATTAAAAATATTGTTTATTAATGATATATTTTATTTAATTATATTATATTATATAAATATTGATATGACACATTTTGAACACAATTTTTAATTAAACAAAATTCATATTTTATTCTCCAATCAAATTTAATATAAAATTAATAAACATAATTGAACTTTTTTGAAACAATTCAATTTGTATTTCATTTCATAGATTTCATTAAATAAAAACATTTTCATATTGACTTCACATATTAATTTTATTTAACACGTGCCTAGAAATTATACCCTATGACATATTCATGAAATGTTTAAAATTACATTAAGTTTCAATATCTTATCTCTGAACGGATAGATTGATGTATAGATAATGATATAGATATGATAGGATTAAAACTGTTCACATTTATTGCAAAGTTTTCAATTTTCCAATAGACATGTGTCTAATGAAAATAAATATTTCAAACACGTGTTTATCAAAAAAAAAATACAATACTTTATTAATGTAATACAAATGTGAATTATAATAATTTCTAAATTACAATGAATTACACAAATTTGCTGACAATACTTGTGCTCAATATATGCCATAAAGTAATCATTTGCGGAGTTTTGGATACTATGGTAGACGTGAGTGAGTAATGAAATAAACGCAAAACATTTATTATAATAAATTAAAACCACTATAAATGACACATAAAAATACTTTTTATCCCAAAAACAGAGCAAAATAACGCCATCAAAGAAATCCGTATTTTATACCAATTGCCACACAAGGAAAATATACCCCAGGTCTACTCCATAGTACGGGGGTCGCCACTACACGCCGAGATTGATTTTCTACCGAGTATATGACCCTCGTACATTTTGACCATGTATATACTTATTTAATAATCATTTAAACCCCTGTCTTATAGCCTACATACCGGCCAACACTGAATACGTGGCCATCACTGTAATCGTACCGGAGTTCACGTGTTTTGGGCGGCAATACATACTAGGCTTTCACCGGGAGAGGTGGCAAATGCCGGCCTGTCGTCTCTGTACTAATACCGGCCAACAGTACACAATGCCTGTAGTCTTATACTTAGGGCCCGACAGTGGCTGTTATGATGTAAACTACCTGTCCTTTTGGAGATTATTTGCTGAGTAATATGTTTTATATGCACTTTAGGGCCGAATACCCACGTATTGGAAAATAGAGGCCGTCCCTTATAACCGGCCACTCGATGATCAGACAGACCTCGTGATAGGACTGGTATACGATAAGGACAAACAGTTTAGGATCTGCACCACCGATGAGACCGAAGAGTGTTTTAATGCCAAAAATATATTTGTGTTGAACCGACAGAGGAATGGTAGCTAATAGTATGGGATTTGCTTTTATAATCGCTTTCATGTATTTATTGATCTATCATTTCATTCATTACATAATAATAACACGTTTTATGTGTCATATGTTTGTCAGAAAAACTTTATAAGAATTTTTATTTATATATTTTTTATAGAAATATTTTTTTATTTATATTTTTTTAATAATTATTCATTGGCTGTTTATTAATGATCATGTACAGTTAGATATCAATGTATAGGTAAAATGATCTCATGCTTATCCCTACAATAAACCGATTGATTGTTATTAACGATTCGTATCTGTTGTTGACTGTCGTATACAAAGCCTAATATCATATCCGTTTGGTCGTTGTCCCGGGGGTTTAGTGGCAGGGCTTCCACTTTCCATATGGTGGGCACCGGACCCTATTTGCCGCATATTAAACACAATCGCATTAATTCACACTCAAAACACTAATAGTGACAAACATTTCAAAGTGTTTATTGTTTAATGAGTTAACACTTTCTAATTTATAGGTTAAGGAATTAATTTCTGGGAAGTCCTATTAAATTGCATTATAATTATCGCTACGGGTATACAGGCTATCAAAGATATGTAATATTACCAGGGTATCATGGGGTTGGGCTTAAAAGTTATAACATTTATAAGGAATTTAGTACAGAATAAAAAGCATTCAATGCTCGTATAGTTTGCTCCCTCTTATGGCTATCAATAGGTTTAGTATTTAAGATTCACTTGACATACCTGTGCACACCAGCCATCATCGGGCAGGTATAGAGTGACCGGCAATGTATACGACTGGTTAGTGTTGGTGCACAACCGGCACATACCGGTGACTGCGAACACCTCCTGATGCCATCCTATATACCACTGTCTGTACGCCTACGTGTGCTCACAAATTGAATTATTTGCACTTCAATTGTACGGATCGATAGGTTTCTCCCATCTATTTGACTGAAAATATTTTATTTGTGCAAAACTTTGCAAAAATAAGAGTAAAATGTATTTATATTTTACCCCTTTTTGATTTCATATGAAAAATGTAACAATTTCTAGTGTAATAAATGTTATACAAAATAATATTAAATTGACCTTCAACAATTCTAAAGAATTTAAATTTGCGTAAACTTTGATCTATATTTGTATAAAAAATTTTGATTCATTATATTTGACATAACAAAATAAAAAAATATTTTTCTATACATCTAATTATATATTAATGTTTGAAATATTCTATATAATAATTCATTAAAATATACTTAACTTTTGTATAAGTTTTTACACATATTTTGTAAATAAAAAACGGATAAAATCGTAGATTAAAGAACTTGCAAACTTTTTACTCAAATGCCATATTATATTAAATTAATGAATTAATATTGATTCATCAAGAATGTTTTTAATGATCATGGAATATTCTTTACCTAAACAATCTTTAATTAATCTAATTATTTCTAAAAATATTCCCTATTCAATAGATTAATTGAAAACTGATTAATTAAAAATATAGCTGAAATGCAAACATTGTCTAATGATCAGTATATTATTTTTAGAAAATTAATTAGTGAATAATATGTTTTTCATTCAATAAATATTGTATAATAGATTATTAATGAATATTAATAATGAGAGGGAGTGAGTGAGTGGGGGAGAGGGAGAGAGAGACTATTAATTATAAAGAAACAATAGTTCAACACAATTGCTAAATACTGATTGATTTACAAAAACAAAACTCAATCAACACTTCTGTCTAAAAAAGACATTACTTTTGCTAAAGTCTAAGATTTGGGCGAAAATTTTTATTTTTGTTTTCATCGACTTTTGTGTCAAACGGAAAACCTTTGACTTAAATTGCATTTTGAGACAAAAAAAATACAATAAAAGTGTAATTGAGTGCCAGATTTATACACCGAAATCGATGTAGTTTTTCAACACTACTATTACGTGTATTCATTGGAAAAGTACTGCAATTTAGTGCTTAAGTCACTATTCAGTGAAAAGTAAATCTTTGATATAATTATAGCACAAATGGTTACAAAAACTAAAAATACTTTCAATAAGAAAGTAATTTCTCAGTAAATGAGAAAACTTTTTGACATAAAAACATTTAAACCTAACCATATAATAATATTTATAAAAGTTTATATTGTAGACTATAGATTACCCCGGTTAATTATTAATTCTAATTATATAAGTATTATATAAAATTTTTAATTGTTATAAATAAAGTTATTTTAAACACTATTTTATCGGTTATGAATTTACATATTTGTTTAATACCAGGGTAGGGTTTATAATAGGGTAGGGTTTATAATAGGGTAGTTTAAATTAAGGTAGATAAATTAATTGTAATCATTAATATTAATCTATTAATCAGAAAACTATCTGTAATTCATACTAAACAGCCTTTCCCTGTAAGCACTGGTATTTCAATAATCGATGATTTAGTGTTAAATATCGTGTTATTTAAATGAATGAATAAATTGTGAAAACAAGTGATCAATCAATTTGATTGGCGATGAAATATAACAAGTAAAACCTTTAATGTAAAAACTTGCGAAATAAAATAGAAATTTTTTACTTGTATTGTAATTATTTTTATAAACACACATTTAATACACAGAATATTCCTAAGCATAAAATATAGTATATTAACAGGTATTGTGTGAAATAAAATAGTATAATATGTAAGAAACCTAACTTTTTGTTATTACTATCTTATGATATAAATCAATAAAATATTTTATAAAATACAATACAATACTACATAATGATATTCATTTATTCCTATACATAAAGGCTTAACATGTGTTTTAAATGTCTTTTCCATTAATATACTGATGTTTACGAGTGTTTAAAACATAAAATGATATTTCGCAATAAAATTTCGCAAAAATATTTTTAATTAGACTTTCAGTTGAAATTAATGATGTTTTTCAACCAATATTTAGAAATATATCACACATTAAAAGGTTGTTATCATTATTCCCAGAATTGTTTGCCACAATTTTGGTTATTGTAATCATGTAATCTAAATTACCAATGTATGTATTCAGTGAAACAAATTGTTTTAGTATTCAATGGATTACATCATCCAGTCTATACTAATTACAAATATTGTAGACGTGTGTAATATATTAATTGCTTCATGCATTTAAATGAACACATTTGGTAATTGTCAAAATATGTGTTATGTAATATTTAACTTATAAGCATTTGCATGCTAATTTTTAGTTTTTATGTGAATATTTTATCTGTTATTTTATTTATTCACATATGGATATATGGTATTATCCAGGATAATAAAAAATCTTTATAGATTGGATACAATTTAATATAATAAAATATACAAGTACTTCTTATCTAATATTATATTACTATTATATTACGTCTATATCATGACTCGTATCAGAATAAGTATTTATGGGTATTGTTATGTATATTACCGTTATTAGCAAAAAATAATATATTTAACGATAAATTTAAGGGGAATCCACAGAATATTCCGATACAACACACAAAACATATATTATTTCACATATAAATATAATTGAAATTTATGTAAAACATGTCACTTTCGCAGCGGCAGCCAAATGTCACAGTTTATGGCACAGAATATTCTGTACCAGAATTTAGTCATAGAATTTTACAAACAAATTACTCTCTCTCTCTCTCTCTCTCTCGAGTGTAAGCCATTTAGATATCGTAAATGTTTTTTCAGTTAAAACTCCTATTCAAACAAATTATTATTCAAAAGCAAACACTCAGTGTTCAGTGAAAAGTTGTTTTAATCTAATTGATTGCCAAATGTTTTTATACTCGCATTCATTGAGATAAATATAAGTCAATATTATCCCGGAATTGATATACACTGTAATTGATTTAGCACAAACTTAAATACAAATCTAATTATTAGGCTAAACATAAATAGTGAGCCAAAGATTTCTCTGAATTTGAGTCTAAAATTAGAGTCGAAATATTAAACAAAAATAATTAATCAAATTTAAGTTCATATTATATAAATTTATAACCAGTGTAGTAGCATATGCTAACAAAATTTACTATAGTTTAATAAAATCAAATTTTAAATTAAATAATAAAATACAGTATATTATACAGAATATTCTGTAGTATACCATATGGCATATACTACTGTACCGTATAAATATATTTTTGGCTAAATATTTCATGTATTACACAATTATAATTATTATGGTTATACACGAAACCAAACAAATCTTATCAAAACTTTTTGTTCATTAAAAGATAAAAAAGTTTATTTTCATGAAAGACTCGTATATTATCTGTATTTCATTCAAACATTTATTATATTAGCGATCAAATACTTATCCATTGAATAGGAGTCCGATTCGCGTGTGTATTGTATTGTGCGCTCAAATATAGAGTAAATTAATGAATTGCTATTGAATTGAATGAATGGCCGGGTAGATAAATCAGTTTTTCAAAGGGAATACTCATGGAAAATAGGCAAACATTGAACTCAACATTGTAATTACCAAATGCTACTGTCGCACACATTTTAATTAGATTTGGGCTTTTTAATTAAACGCACGGCCAGAAAGTCAATTAACTTAGCATTAAACAATTTGGCAATAAAATTGACGTTTAAAAATAGACAAATATATTATTTTTTCCAATTACAATAATTTATACGGAGGCTATTTGAAGTCCCACTCACTAACCATAACTGTAAACATGTATAATATTTTGTTTCAACATAACTTGCTACAAAATATATGTGGTAGAAAATATTTTTCATCTTAACATGTGATAAACAACTCGTATTTTTTTGATGACAAATAAGCGCTTAATATATTGATCGCAAACAGTGTTTGTGTCACTAATATTGTCGAGATATATATATATATATAAATGGCATTAATTTTTGTGCCCAATAAATTTCTTGATAAGTTTTTATCACATATATCATAGTTGTTATGATATTGTATTAATCATAGCAACAGCTGATCCGTTAATAAGTTTTTAAGACATGTCTCGTTA